CTCCTTCTTATTAGTTGAAGGGCTTATAGGAACTAAGCTATCCCTTGCTGATAAAGGACCAATGTGTGTACATGTATGTTTGCTACAGTGTTTGAAAGTACAGTGTGTATAAAGATGTCTGAGTACCCTCGATAGAGTATGTGTACCAGAGTCTTGTAGCTAATCTGAACAGAGACCTTGGCTTGTGAAATGTTACTACTCAGAGTCTCTCCAACGGTACAACTGCCAATCAAGAGAAACTGATGGAGAACAAGTGAACCTAGGTGCTCTGTCTGTGCTGGCAAGCCTGACTCAATTAGCTCCTCCATTCTGCTATGCTCTTCCTATCATGATGAAATAAAACTACTAGCCAAAATAAACAATATATCCCTTTAATTGCTCTATCAGGTTTTTTTGCATGGGGGCATTAACTTTAATGCAGAAAATTGATACCAGAGAAGTGGGGTAACTGTTCTGATATTTGACAATGCGGACAAGCCTTGTGGCAAAGAGTTGGGAATGTTTGAAGAACTAGGCTACAGAAAGCCTATAATGCTATACGCAGAGTTTAGTAGGCAATTCTTGTGGACCTTCATATGATGAGAATGCCTAGGAATGAAGTTAGTAAAAACTATACTCACGGGAATTGGACTATTGGCTATTTGCTGTTCATGTATTAATACTCTAAATGAAGCAGAGTGAGTTTAAAAGTGGTAGACTAGTCATTAGAAGAAATTTCAAGGTAGCCAATAATTCAGGTGATGGCATGGTTACTGCTTGCTGACTTTAGTCAAATTTAGAGTGAGAACTGTGATAAAAAAAAAAAAACCCACAGTGGAAAACTTGTAGCTTGTCCATAAAAGAAGCACAAATAATTCTGATGCTGAAGAAAGTAAAGCAGGATCATTAAAAAGAAGCTAAATACTCAGTATCAGAACAATAAGAAGGGTGCTGAGAGGGCATCTTAGAAAATTTCCAGACCCCATTCATCACAGGCTTAATGCTATAAATGTTTTAACTAATCTGAAATGTTTTTCTTTGAGAAAGAGACACTCCACTCCTCTCCCTGTGCACAGAGCCACTGAGGGAAGAGTTTTCTTGTGTTCAATCTTCCAGACACTCAGGCACTGTGGCAGCTATGGTCCTGGGGATTGTATCCTGACAGAAGACTATAATCATCCACATTATGCTACTTTTGAACATGTGCAGAATGTAAGAATTATGGATCCTGGAAACTTACTCATTTCTAAGAAAGACCTGGGAGGCCAGGCAATATGTGTCAGGATCAGCTTCTCTTCAGGTAGCCCCTGAAAGGGCAACGAGGGAAGCTATGATGGTAAAGCTAAAGGTAGAATGAGAGGAGAGGCTTGAAAGTTAGATTCTGGAAACTAGGGACATCTGAAAATGAAATGTGCAGGCAGGGAGTAGAGCTAGTCCAAGAAGGAGGCCTCATGGGCTACAGCCAGGAAGGTAGCAGCGCTCCGGCTGCCAGAGCCCTTTGGAATTCATATCATGCTACCATGTGTTTCAGAGACCAAGCATGGAGTTTCAAGATTAAATATCTACCTAGGCTTTAGTCTTGTACTAGTCTGATCCCTCCTCTGTTTACCTAATCTGACATTTTGAAGTAGAAATACTAACTCTGTGCCACTGGATACTGTGAGTACTGTACTTAATTTTATTATTTTTTTTTTAAGGACTTTACGGCAAAATGTTTGAGTTGAGTTTCAGAGACTTTTCACTTTGGCTTTTGAACAATGTTAGACTATTAGGACTTGGCGATAGACTGCATGCATTCTGAGTTATAAGAAGGACATGAGAGTTGGAGTATGAGCTCAGCTAGTGAAGAGTTTGCCTTACAAGCAAGAGGGCCAAAATTTGATCCTAGAACCCATGCAAGTAAATGAATGGATAGATAGATGGATGGATAGACAGACAGACAGACAGAGTACTGAGTGTGGCCATATGCACTTACATTCCCAGTGCTGGAGAAGTAGAAACAAGTGGATCCTTGAAGCTTACTGGCCAGCCAGCTTAGCCTATTTGTCAAGCTCCAGGCCACTAATACCTTGTCTCAAAACAAAACCCAAACAATAAAAAGGTGATGGCACCTGAGAAACAACAATCAAGATGGACCTTTAGCTTCTGCACAAATGTGCACTCACATACACGTTCACAGACACACACAGACACACACACACACACACGTGAACATTTACACATACACATTTAAACGAAAAAGATAGAGATGAGAATTTGGGGAAGAAAGGTGACTGCTATGATTTATGAGCTGTGTTTGACTGTCAGGAAGGGTTAAATTTATAATGGCTCACCTTGGTAGACAACGATACAGAAGAAGCTCCTAAGAGGCTGGATATGGTCTAAGTGTGTCTTTCAGGGCAGTTCAGAGAAAATGGCAAGAGGCCCAGATAGATAAAAAGGAGAAAGATGCTACACTACACTGGCTTATTCCCTTCTATTTCTCATCGTGTCCCTCCCTCCCTTGTTCTCTCTGTGTCTCTTCTTCCTGAATTTCATGGTCTCCCTACTATGACAGACTGAAACTTTGAACCAAAAATCAGTTAATTCTGTCTATATAGGGATTGAAAGTATAATATACTCTCTTCTCTGTTTTCATAATTAGAAAAATGAAGTGAGATTAAATAATTGAAATACTCCTAAAGAAATGCTATATGTCTGAGATGAGAGATAGGACAATTTTCCTAATGTGATCATTATGTATTGTATACATATATTGAAGTGCCAATTCTATCCATAGATAGATATATGTAATTACCATGTGTCAATTAAAGCAACATTTGAATAATTTCCACTTTTAGAATAATTATAATTGGCAGGAGTGTCAACTAACTGGCAAATTCTTCCACAGCAGTTTTGAACTATTTCTAAGAGCTTTAATTATTTTTCAGGAGCTTAATTAACCATTTCAGCCCATTACCACAGAATTAAATGACAATGTCATCAAAATATCTAAACAAGAACTGTGAAGATTTTCTACCCAGAATTGCAGGGCTCTTAGTAGGGTAAGTGAAAAAATTGGGACCTGTTTCCTAGGCTTGAGGGGCCACTAACAAGTTAGTATCAATTCCTTTAAGCATTTATAAACATATGACGTTCAAGTGTTGTGATGATTTGAATTAGAATGGCTTCCATGGCTTCAGTTATTTGAATGCTCAGTCACCATACTCTGATGGTATTAAAAATCTAAGGAGGTGTGTCCTTGTCACTCAGCTGGGCTTTGAGGTTTCAGAAGCCCATGTCACGCCCAGGAGTCAGTGCTACTGCTCTACAAGCCCCCATCCCCAACCCTGCCTATGGATCAGGTCCTATCGTTCCTGCCTACTGCTCCCTGCCATGAGATTGGACTAATCCTCTGAAACTGCAAGCAAACCCACAATTCAATGTTTTCTTTCATAGTACCTTGGTCATGGCGCCTTTTCACAGCAACAAAACAATGACTAAGACAAATGTTTTTTTAAGAATTATTAAATATTTTATCTCATTTGGTCCTTATCTCAAACGATAGGTGGGGCTTATATTTTTATCTTCATTTGGAAGATGAGTTTGGAGGTACTGATCCCAAGGTTCCATAGCTCGTAAATAATAGCCAGAACTTGAACCCATGTTTTCACCTCAGAATCCTGGGCTCTGTTTCTCAATAATTGATATGAACAAGCCTTATTTATGCTTACAGAATAGTTCTGTAGTTTGAGGGAATGTCCAGTAAATATTAATAGATGACTCCAGTTTACTATAATTGAGAACAACTTTTATGGCTAGTTTTACATTTTAATCAGAGTTCAATCAACATTTTGGCTTAGACTCAAAATATTGTTATAAAGATTCATGCTTAGAGCATCCTACATATAACCCTTAAGCCTCTGTAAACATTCTGCTGATTAGCCACTAGCACTGGAGTAGTTAAGTACATCCTTATGCAAAAATGCCATTCTGGATCACTCTTTTATTTTCCATTAAGTAAAAACATAACCTAGACTGAAGTAAAACCTCAGGAATGATATTAGATCACATATCCCTACCATTTTCAGTATCAACAAAATAAATTAAAGTAGGTAACTCCATGCATCACCTCTCTCTCCTCTCTCCCTCCCTCTTCTCCACCTTCTTGCTGTAGCACTGCAACAATGCAAGCAGGATTTCTCTGTCATTTGTGCCAGGAGGTCTTCATCAGATATTTCCCCAAATACTTTATGCCATGTAACATCAGATGTGAAACTGTAGGATTAGTTTCTTAGAGGCTAAATGTGTTTAATATCAACAGACTGAAAAGAACCCACAGCTAAATACCTACCACAGAACAGATAATTTCAGGGAAGTCCTACATATACATTCAGCTCATGAATAAAACATTCCAAAAATATCTTTTGCCTTGATTTGATTCTGTTAAAGTCAACCTCAGAAACAATATGTGAAAAATATGGAGCATTTACCAACTGTGTATCATGGGGTTTAACAACTAAGACGAATCCTTTCACTATGTGTAAGTAGTGAAGTGGAGCTCACAAATCAAAACTTTACATACTCTGGAGTTTCTCTTATTTTTCTCTAGCCACTACTGAGTACCTACATTTATCTGTAGAGCTTTGGAATGTCACATTAGTTGGCGTTTTTAATGAGCTTTGAGCATAAGGTTTATTTTTAGAATTTGCCTCAGACAAGACTAAAACTGATGTAAAATTCCTATCAAACTTTCAGGATCTTCACTTCAGTTAATTTTAAACTTTCTGAACCTAGTTGCCTAAACATAGTCTATCTATTTTATTACATTTACACTGAAAACCAGCCCCCTCCCCCAAGTTCCCTTGTGTGTAGTTTTTGCTGAATACCGAGGCTGTAAATGCCTATAGACTGCACAGGTCCTACAGTTTGTTGGTTGCAGTTCATTGTTTTATAACCAAGGATCCTGGGGACAGGGCACTGTAGTTAGCAAATGCTTTCTCTGCTATCATAATGAGCTCCTGGGGGATCCAAAGACTCACTTTTGGCACGTGCGGATTAAATTCCACAGCTCTGTGAATGGCCTCTACTGCATTCATCTCTGCTGTGCTCAGCCCCCGCCGAGATGCAGCCTCCGGAGAGAATCTGAAAAGCAGAAAGACAAACACCATGCAGTTGGGATCACTGCTTGGGCAGCTACCCAGGGAGCAAGTACACATGAAGGGCCCCTGTGAGCTCAGTGAGCCACTGGCACAAGCTCTCCACACTTCCTCTACAGGGACCTCTGAGTTACCCCTTCCACCAAGGCCAACAAAAACCCCAGCAGAAGCAGAAAGCGTGCTTACATTGAGTGGCGGCGGGAATTCTATTCATCTGTCAACTCACTGTCTAAATAGCTAATCTAAATTTTCTGCAAGGTACCTGCTTAGGTGAGAGCAGAGGGAGGACTGACAAGGGCAGACAGTGTAGGAAAAAGAAAACTAGGTTACAGAAGAGCGCACTTGGTTAAAAACAGAACTGGGGAGGATTTTAGGGAGGCTCCCAACCCAATGTCGGTGCTGCCATGGAGGCTAGGTGGCCACAGCTGCAGCAGCAGGCGGGCCTGAGTGGACTGTTCCAGCAGGGGGGGTGTGCGTGCCCAAACTGTGGGCAAGACACCTGCCCAAGGGAATGAAAAAAAACCAGACCATGCAATCTCTTTCTCACCTCACACCCAGGGCTAACTCCAGAGCTGTGCTTGGCAGGCAGACACCACAGGGGAAGCTGTGGCAACCCTGGCCCTGCCCTCCCAAGCTGGAGTCGCTGTGTAGGGAGAAAAGATGTTGCAGTAGGTACTGGCGATCTACAGGATAAAAAAGAATGAAAGAAAATTACTCCAGTTTTGAAGTGCACACACACTTAACAGCAAACCTGTCTGACACCGCAGAGGCTATTACCTGCTCTCTGCTTTTAGATGCTGCAAAGGGTCTGGACTGCCTCAGGGGAATCTAAGTATTTATGAACTCAAAATCCACCTATTCTCTTTAACCTGCCCAGTCATCCCTTAAATACGTGTGGAATGTCTATGTGCCATATCACCTGCCTAAATAAAATGGGCAAATGTCCCACTGAGGTGGCATCTCAACGTAAAGAGACCAGGAGCAGTGGGGCAAAGAATGGGAGAGGGCACTGTCCACTGCCACACTATTGGGCCCCGTAACAGACAGCAGAGTGAAGGGAATATACACACAGAAAAACTAGCACAGGGACAGACTGTTCTGTGTAAATCCCAAGCAGTCCTTTTGTTTCTACTGTCTGACAAAAAGTAAAAATAATAATAAAAAAAGTCACCCAGAGGAATGCAATGTAATGTAAATCCATGTTATGAACCCACACACCCTTACAATAAGTGGGGACAGACACTTCCTCCTTCTAGCAGTGAAATACAAGATCAGCAGCTTTGGGGAAATGCATGCTTTTAAGCAGGGTCATAAGGACCAAGGGAAGCTTCAGGAAAAAGCCCTCAAAGGCGACAGGTCTCCTTACACCTGGCCAGCATTGGGAGCCACACAGGAGACTGTGCACTTACTTGTCCGAGACAGCTCTTGCTTTGAGCAGGGCTGCTGTGTAGCATATTGTTGCCGACTTTGGTAAGCTTATATCTGTCAGGAAAAAACAAAGTAAGAACTCTTGTAAATTTGCAGTCAAGGAGATAATACTCTAAAAACACAAGACTAAAAATCATGTGTGTCCATGCCAAGACAAATTAAGAATATTTAAACTATTACATAAGAATCCCAGTTCTTCCTTACTGTGTCAAAAACGCTATGGGTTATTTTGTCAATAACTAATGTATAAAAGTCACTAGGCACAGTCTTTAGACATCATCTACTATTTTAAAATATGCATTTTATATCTTGAATTTAAGTAGAGAATATATAAATACATAAATTTAGTTATTACACAAAAACCTCTGATGTAAATGGGACACTTTTGTCAGTTATAACAATTACTCAAGAATTACATGAAATATTAATGCAAGGAAAAATTAACCTGAGTTTAAAATACCTACAAAGATAAACAAGGTATATTCTTTAATAGTTAGATTAATTTAAGACAAGTTTCATTTGTATTAAGATTCAGTAATTCAAACACATTTTTAAACAGAACTTTTCACAAATACAAAGGCTAAGGCCAAGGAGATGCAGGATCTCTCTGATGCATATAATTTGTAAAGAGTCCGTGGATCAAACATTCTGAAAAGTGTCCAAGTTTTCTCATTCAAATTCTTGGTCAGTCGCCTTTTATATTAAAGTAGAATTTGTCAGAAAGACAATTTTATAAAGTTTCTAGAAAACTACAGATGGAGAAGGGGAAGAGCAGCTGTGAGATTCCGATAATCAGTTTCCACACAGGTAGAGAACTCTGTGAGCTGAAGGTGTTGGTCTCTCTGCGTGTGGGAATATATGTATTTAAACTGGGATTCCATTCTTTCCAAACTGGGACAGCTGGCACTTCCTTAGCACTTGTTTATCAAATTTCATTCTGACACAGAAATAATTTCTTTGTAAAAAAAATAATAATAACATTTATTTGGAGGGGCCATGTGTGGAGGTCGGTGGCCAGCTTGCAGGTGGTCATTTTCTCTCATTGAACCATGGAGGTTCTGGGGACCAAACTCCAGTAGCTCAGCTTGGCAATAAGTACTTTACCCACGGAACCATCTTTCCACTCCCAAAACTATTTTAATTCAACATAAACTGGAGCTGAAGAGAAAGCTTGGCCACTAAAGGCCATTACAACTATGCCTCTCCCATATGCCTCAAAATTCTCCCTTCATATCTCAGATGCCCTATAAACCTCTTCACAGGGCTGTTTGCAACTCTGAAAGAACTACCCTATAGAAAAACTGAAAAGGAATCTCAAAGCTGGCCAATGGCAAAAGAAAGTAATTCCTTAAAAGAAAATGGTTTCCTCTTCTATAACAAGCACTTACCATCAATTCCAGAGGGAGATTACTCTTTGAGAGGAACATTCAGGACACTTGGTGAATCACAATCAATCATGAAAAATACTGAAGCTATGCTCGAAGACAAGGTATCTGACTCAGCTTTATCTCAGCTGACCTTGTCTCCCTCAGTAATGAAGGGCAGTGAGCATGCTTTCACTTCCATGAGTACCCACGACCAGTCACAGTGTCTGGGGGAGCTGCCCAGTTTATTCTGTATATTATGTAATGTGTCAGAACTACTCAGTGATGCAGGCAGCTAGAGGAACAGAAATATCTTAGCTCTTGATTTGCAGAACTAAAAAGCATCTCTTCACTAGGTCATTAGAATCAAATATGGACATTACCTCTACCTGTTAGATGCTAAGTACAGCCTGTGATCCCCCATCTTCCATATTAACCAACCTACATGAGCCTTCAGGCAGATGGCCCTTGTCAGACAAGATGGTCCCTACCCCTTCCAATCAGCTAGTTCATCAGAATAAGGTGCCATGCACAGCCCTGTCTCTGGACTAACTGGCTTCTGTTGTGAGACAAGCAGATCTAGCTTTTCCTAGAGCACTGATGGCAACAATAACAACACAAAACTGAAAGAGAAAGGGGGTTTTGTAGTCTAGATCTCAAAAACTATATTCAAGCAAAACTGTACCACCACCACCCATACTATACCACCGATACCATACAGATGGTTGTTTGGTTGTTTGTCTGTCTGTTTTTTAAAGATAGGGTCTCAATGTAGCCTAGACAGACCTCTAAATCATACAGTTGAGGATGACCTTGAAATTTTGATCTGGTATGCGTTACTAATTTTAGAAGTATTTAACAGGAACAGATGTGAAGAGTAGATAATATCTACACAAAGTCAACAGGGTTTCACTGCCGCTTCTGATGTGGTTCTCCTGCTTTTCTCTCTTTCTAGAGCTTGCTATGTAAAAACTAAAATTTTAAAGGTTAACAAGATGGCCAGAGGGAGAATTCTGTAATTCAAAATGTGTGAAGCAGGTTCATTAGCAAATACACTGGTGGAGTCAGATACAGACAGACAGCAAGCACTGTCAGCCTACATATCCAGCAGACACATGGTGCTCATGTGAAAGCTGGAATGTTCCTTCTGCATTGTGCCTGCTGCAGGATATCACCTCACTAACATGTTTTAGCTAATAACATCCAAATCAGAGGCAGAAGCTGATATTGTGTGCTCCTTGTAAGAAACTAGGAGTAAGAAGTGGGAAATAGTAAGAACTGGAGGGGACGGGAACTCCACAAGGAAAGCAACAGAACAAGATAATTTGAACACAGGGAACTTCCCAGAGACTCATACTCCAACCAAGGACTATTCGTGGAGATAACCTAGAACCCCTGCACAGATGTAGCCCATGGCAGTTCAGTGTCCAAGTGGGTTCCATAGTAATGGGAAGAGGGACTGCCTCTGACATAATCTGATTGGCCTGCTCTTTGATCACCTCCCCCTGAGGGGGGAGCAGCCTTACCAGGCCACGGTGGAGGACAATGCAGCCACTTTTGATGAAAACTGATAGACTAAGATCAGAAAGGAGAGGAGAACCTCCCCTATCAGTGGACTTGGGGAGTGGCATGCATGCAGAAAGGGGAGGGAGGGTGGGATTGGGAGGGGAGGAGGGAGGGGCTTATGGGGGGATACAAAATGAATAAAGTGTAATTAATAAAAAAAAAAAAGAAACTAGGAGTAAGTTTATTATAGGCCCCTTGAATTCTGATCCCTGCCTCTTTGATTCCTGGCCCCTCTCAAGCTGAGACTTAGTAACTGCTGCCTACTGTGATTTTTAAAGTGATTTCTTTCTAACTTTACAAGTATAGTCAAATGCAAAGTTCAAAGAACTTTGAATGCTTCACTCAATTCCCCCAAATGGTCATGTTTCACATAACCATAGTACTAAGAACAAAAAACTAAGCCGACACTGTTCCAGTGATAGGAATAAACACAGACTGTGCCCCATCTCATTATCTTACATGTGCTTAAGTAGTCATCTGTAATATCTAGATTCATGTAACACTACCACCCCACAAAGATAAAGAATTGTTCCCAGCCACAGAGAATTCCCTTGCTGGCCCGTTATGCTTGTTCCCACCCTGTCCTTCCCAACATGGTGCTCACAAATCTATTTTCCAGAGTTTTGCTTGCCCCTATGATTTCATGCTTTGCCACTAAGAAAAGGATAAAATGATAAGACAAAGAAAAAAATATCAAATTTGTCACAGAAATGTTAGTATCAGAAGCTGTGAGCAGAGAGTAACAAGTTTTCTGCTTGCTCATACTGCCAGGAACTTTTCTCCTTTAGAAGAGACTAAAACCTAATTCTAAGTAGAGTATTTAGTTTGTTTTGTGATAATAAACTACCTCTACAGTGGCTTTCTGCCTTTTACAAGAGGCATTTAGCAATAATTACCATAAAAATCCTCTTAAGAATTGGAATTTGGGTTGGGGTATAGTACACTAGTAGATCATACATTTAGCATGCACAAGGCCCTGGGCTCAATCCAAACACACACACACACACACACACACACACACACACACACACACACTCACACACAAACGGGGGGAGGATATGGTAGTGTCGTAATAAAAAAATGAAAGAAAAGGGTAAATACAAAACCACACAGTTCACCCCATTACTTCCTACAAAAGATATGCTAACTATATATTTCTCAAGAGCCAACCAGAGCTGCTGGTGTTTGCCTAAATTTTCTTTGACTTGTGTTTATATAAGTCCTTTTCTGAAAAGGGAAAAAATTTCCCCACATGAAAGCAAATTGTCATCAAAGACTTTTATTAAAAGTTATAGTCTGACATGAACTCAACGGCGAGCTCGTCCACCACCACCCCCCTCACAAGGGAGGAGCAGCCTTGCTAGGCCACAGAAGAGGACATTGCAGCCAGTCCTGAAGAGACTTGGAAAGGGGCAGGGAGAAGATGAGAGAGGGAGGGTGGGATTGGGAGGGAATGAGGTAGGGGGCTATGGCTGGGATACAAAGGAAATAACCTGTGATTAATATAAAAAATAAAGAAAAAAGTTACAGTCTTGAACTTCATACAAGTGGAAGCCCATGACATTTCTGAAGTCTATCCATATGGTAGCACAGAATTTTCATTCTTCCTCATGGCTGAGTACTACTTATTATGTAGTACTAATACTATATATTTGCTCTCTTTATTAATGGACATTTGCATTGCTTTCTAGCTTTAGCCTACTATAATTAAGGGTACCCTGACTGTGCTTATCATGTACACTTTAAAAATATTCATTTCTCTTGGACGTATGACTGAAAATGGAATAGCTGAGTTAAAAGGTAGATATTTAACCTCACTGAACAGTGCTAAAACATGTAAATTTCATCCTAGATGGATCATACTGGTATGCACCTAAGTAAAAAGCTATTCCCCTCTCTGCATAAGATGTGCATAAGAATGTGTAATTTATGCCTCAACAATCGCTTAATTTTGTTAAAAACAACTATCTGAGGTCACTTCTCTCACCAGTACGCTCTTCCTCCAGTTTTTACTGACCTTTGATCACATGCCCCAAGCTCCACTTTCTTACTATGAACCTAAAATCCACTAGTTTTACCTTTAAGACTACTTCCCAATTCAGTCCTACAAACATTCAAGTGGTT